TACCCCCTATATTTAGCACTGTATTTTTCTTTTTCCTTTCCAAGAGAAACCTTTCAGTCACTTCTGTTCTTTCTCCACCTGGTCTCTTCCTCATCATTCCCTCCTGCTTAAGTCTTACACGTACTTCTAGCACTGGGAGGAAACTGGTCTCATTTTCTTCATGTTTATTTTCCTTGACCAACTCCCAGTTTTAGAAATTGCTGGCCACCCACAAATACTTTCTATAACTCTATACTGTCATTCTACCTCTCAGACCCTCATGACAGAGACAGTGCAACATTTGGAGTCAGAAGACCAGGGTTCACAGCACAGCTCTTCCACTTGCGGCTAAGTGACCGCCCTGGGGAAAGTTACAACTTCTCTGGGCCTCTGTTTCCTCAACTGTAATATGAAGGGGGCATACTCAGTAATTTCCAATATTCTGTCTTTAAATTTATGATCCTGTGATTTTCTTCTTTTTCTCATAGGATCTTTTCCAAGGATCAGTTCTTAGCCTTCTGTTCTTATTTCATTACCCACTGCCCTTGAAGATCCAAGCCATTTCTCACGTCTTCAAGGATCGTGACGTGATTTTCAAATCTACATCTCCATCCCTAACTCTGCCAAGCACCAGTTCCAAATACTAAAATGCCTACTAGACCTTTCCATCTGGATTTTCCATTGTCACCTTAATCTCAGCAAAGCAAATTTAAACTCATCTTCCACCACAACTCGTGCCTCATCCTGACTTCTTTTCATATAACCACCATGTTCTCATGACTCCAATCTTGAAAGCTCACTCCTCCCTGGGGCTATACTTTAGGTAGTCCAATAATTTTTAAATTGTCTCTCCTGAGTCGATTTTCCAGGTTGGTTGTTTTACTGATGAGGTATTTTACATTTTCATTGATTTTTTCATTTTTTTGTTTCTGTTTGACTGATTCTTGCTCTCTCATAGAGACATTAGTTTCCATTTGTCTAATTCTAGTTTTTAACAGATTCTTTTCTTCTGTTAGTTTTTGTACTTCCATCTTCAACTGGCCAATTGTGTTTTTTAGGGATTTGTTTTCTTCAGTGTACTCTTCTGTTAGTTTTTGTCCTTCCTTCTTCAATTGGCCAATTGTGTTTTTTAGGGACTTGTTTTCTTCAGTGTATTTTTTTTCCAACTGGCCAATTGTATTTTTGAAGGACTCTTTTACCTCTCTCATTTGACTATTAAAATCCTTCTTGAGCTCTTCTAAGAAGGCTTTTTGGGCTTCAGACCAGTTCATATTCCCTTTTGTTGTTGCAGATGTGGGTTTGTTGACAATGTTGTCTTCTTCAGAATTTCTGTCTTGATCTTCACTCTTCTTGTAATATGAGTCTATGGTACGTTTCTTTTCACTCATGGTGTTTCTTTATTCCCTGGCCTTTAAAAAGATTGAGCTCTCCTGCTGGGGAACAGAGGGTACTGACCCAAGCTTCTTGTGTTGGGAGCCTAGGTCTTGGTCACTGGCTTTGTGTTCTGGGGCCTCTTAGCTGGGATTTGGAAGCTGTAGGTTTCTGGCAGCTTACCTTGTGTTGGGCTGGAATCAGCAAGGCTGGAACTTTCAGGCAATTCTAGGTTGCCTGCTTTTCCTTTCCTTTAGCTTTCTTCCACTCCTTTTAGATGGCTGCTGCAGGATGTTTATCTGCCTGGGGCCCCCTGCAGTGTTGTCTCCCTCGGTTCTGCTAATGCACCAGGAGATTCCTTTGCAGTGGAGTGCCAAGGCTCCTGGTGGTTTTCTGAGCTGGTTTCCACCAGTTCCCCCGCCCTCACTGAGGCACTCGGAGGTCCAGGTGTTGGTGTTTGCCTGCTCTACCACCTGGGCTTCAGGATTTCTTCACAATTGGGGGCTTCAGGGCTCCTACAGCTCACCTTGTGTTGGGTTGGAATCAGCAAGACGGAGCTTTAGGAAGCCTTTAGGTTGTTTTCTTCACCTCCTTTCAGATGAATGCCGCAGGGTACTTATCCGCCTGAGGCCCCTTGTTTTTGCTACGGCACTGAGAGATCCGTTTGCTGGGCTACTGCACTGCTGCTCCTTGTCTTTCTTCTAGTTCAGGTGTTCCAGGGTTTTTTTTTTTTTTTCCTGGGCTGATATTTTCTGGGTATGCAGAGGTTGATAGGGGAGAGTGAGAGTGACTACCTTTTCACTCCACCATCTTGACTCCCGGAAGCAGAAGTCCCCTGGGGCTATACTTTAAAACCTCCATCTCTCCCCTATACCAAATCAGTACTCAAATCTTACTCATTTTTCTTTCATAATATTCATTCTCTTTCATTTTCACACCAATCTAATCCAGACCCTTATCTAATCCCTGGACAACTACAAAAGCCTCTTAACTGGTTCCACATCATCTCTATCCTCCTCCCCAATATATCCTGGTATACTTATACCTCCAAGAGATTAATCTTCTAAAAATACCACTTATATTATGTGATAAATCTGCTTAGAAATCTTTAAAGGCTCCCCACTAAGAGTAAAAAATCCTTTCACAGGATTTAGAGCCTTCCTCAACTTGCCTTTCCAGTCTTCTCAACTCATTACTCTCCTATATGAATCACACAGTTCCAGCCCAAAAGCCTATTCACCATCTCTCATACTAATGCAGACCTATTTCCATGCCTTTGTTTATGCTGATTTCATAAGAGTAATGCCTCAGAATCTTTACATAGAGTTCTATCCTTATTCCATTCATCATTTGAATCCATTCTCACTGTTCCTCTCCATACTCCAAGCCTCTCACCCCCAAACCAGCACAGACCTAGGCTATAGAAGTCACACATAGGCCTGGGAGCTGGAGAACTCCACACATCAACTTACTGGTAGGTATATGGAGAGGGACACTTTTTCCACTTCAGAACAACAGCACAACAAAATTTATCTCAATTCATTTCCCCAAAGAAACAATGTTATGCATGGTAGTTAGCTTCTATGGTAAAACTACTACAATATGAAACTTTCAATATGTTGTGGGTTAAGTTTATGTGAATTAGTATAGGGACTTAACCATATAAAATTTAATGGGTAAGTACATACTTAGTTCCCCAAACTGACTTCCTGCTAAGTTTTCAGAATGCATTCCATTCAGTAAGTTGCAGGCTGCCTACATGTAAGCATGAGCGCTTCCAAATGTCTGTCTTACTTTTTTTAAATTCCATCCTCCATGGTAACAGATTTAGCTTTGCCACAAGACAAAATGCAAGCCAAATGTGATTTTTTTCTTTAATTCCTCCAATCTATCTAAAGGAAGAATTGCAACTATTTGTCTTTAACTGAACTATTTTTTTAAAAAAAATAATAATAACAGTTAACATATAGACAGAGCTTTAAGATTTGCAAAGCACTTTAAAGAAGTTATTGTATTTGATCCTTACAACAATTCTGTGAGGCAGGTTCTATTATTATCTCCATTTTACAGATGAGGAATCTGAGGCTAAGAGAAGTTAAGTGAATTGTTCAGGGTTACACAGCTGGTAAGAGTTTGAGGTAGGATTTGAACTCGTGTTTTCCTGACTCCAAATCCTTTACTGTATTTACTATGCTACCTGGCTGCCTAAGTGGTCAACTCTTTCGCAATAAACATCTCTTCATAAAAAAATGATTTTCAAACCACAGGCAATGTCTACATTCTCAAAAAAAGCTGTCAAATCACAAAAAGAAAAGCTTGTTTCTTCTGAATTTTCATGGCATAACATAATATTTCACGGAATTTACCATTCTACTCAACTGGAAGCTCCTTGAAAGTACAACGGTCTTTTTCTCTCTTTCTCAGAGAGAGGCCTTTGAAAGTCAATAGGATGTAAAGTCAATGGTATAAAGAGAGCTGTACTCAAAGCCAGGAAGGCTTGAATCCTCCAGGATTACAATCTTGCCTCCCTCGTCATTTAAAATCTAGGAGCATCAACTTCCTCATCTATAAAATGAAAGTAGCAACACTGACCCCACAGTGCTATTATTAGAATCAAAAAGGATAATATATGCAAACCATAAAACAATCCCTATCAGTTATTATCATGATTACTATTATTATTGTTGCTAATCATTTGCACATATTTCAAGAATCAACAATTTGATCATTGTGGGGCCTCCTGCCACTGATACAGATGGCAAACCCTCCAAGCTTGAACAGGGGGTCTTTGTGAGTGCTGTGACCAAAAAGACATACTACCAAAGAGGTAAGCCTCTTTGAATGTCATTGGTTGCTTCTCAGACAACAAGCATTCAGGGACCAGGCTTACATGCTTCAAGCATGGCAAGAGCTTGCCAGGACACGTATTCTGTTGGCCTCACTTTAAAGAACCCCAGATCACCCCTCTTTGTCACAAGAAGTCATCCAAATGGACTTCAGTGGAGATGGCCAACAACAGGTAATTCATAAATGTTTGCTGAATTGGAACTGGCATTAAAAGCCCTCCATAACCTAGCTCTGACCTGCCTTTCCAGTTTAATTATAATTAACTTTTCTTCTCGTACTCTACATGCCAGCCAAACTGGACGTATTGCTGTTCCTCACAAATGACAATACATCTCCTGCTTCTAAGCTTTTGAACTGGCTGTCCGCCACACCTAGAATGCCCTCCTTCCTCACCTATGCTTCTTAAAATCCTTTAATTCCTTCAAGAATCACCTTAAGCATTACCTTCTACATGAAGCCATTCCTGATGCCCCCAGCTGCTAAAAAACCTCTCCAAATCACCTTGCATTTATTTTGTATATATTATTTAAGTATTTATGTATGCACATGTTGTCACCCTCATTAGAATGTAAGCTCCTTGACAGCCAAGCCTGTTTCATTTTTGTGTCTGTATTCCCACTACTTAGCAGTAAGTCCCTAAAAAATGGAGACTGACAGATGGGTTGAATTTGGATAATCCCTTGGATTTCTACCAATACAAGAGAATAATTCATATCTAATTACAGAGAATGGAAATGAAAGAAAATAAAAGTATGTGAAGAAACTAAAGAGAAACTTGAGTAAATGGAAATTTAGATACTTACCAGTTGAGCTTCCAGGAGTACCAAACTGAGAAGTGTCAAGAAACTTTCGAGGTGTAGGCATGTTTGTGACATCAAGCAGGGGCACTGGGGAAGCATCTTTCACAAGAGAGCTACAAAGAACAGAAAGCATCAGACTTTAGCACTTGCTTCAGTGTTATCCCATGTCCTGAAGTGGGCCACTATTCTCAGCATACTATGGTCTAGCTCTTCTGTCACTATTGCTCTTTATACAAGATATTCTTTCCTACTAGTGCTCAAACACTTCTCTTTTCAAGAAAGGATTGACTGAAGGAATCCTTTAACCATGCAATTTAAGTCAACGTTCACTCCATATTAACACTATTCTCCTTTTCCTAAGAAACCCAAACCTTTATTTTTAAATGGCTGACTTTCTATTTTGCAAAGAAGGGAGCTAGATGATGCAGTGGATAGGGCACTGGGCCAGGAGTCAGGAAGATCTAAATTCAAATCCAGTCTCAGATACATACTAGCCATGTGAGCCTGGGCAAGTCACTTAACCTGGGTCTGCTTCAGTTTCCTCAACTGTACAGCAGAGATAATAATAGCACCCACCTCTCATGGCTTTTGTAGGGATCAAATGAGATAATACTTGCAAAGCATTTAGCACCATGCCTGGAACATAGTGAGTACTTGGTAAATACTTGTTTCTGTCTTTCTTGTCCTTGCTAGGCAGGGGTTGTGCTGGACTACACCAAACATCAATATCTCTCATACAAACACAGTTTTATAAGTCACAACACATTGCATTTACATATCTTAGTCAAAGCAGATAAACTAGAGATTTGTTTATTTTATAACAAATAAGTGTTTAAAAAGTGCATTCTGAAAGTTTGGTTTGAGGGTAACAAATATTTTCCAAGGACAGGACTTGGAAAAGGTATTTAACTTTGTAAATATTTCCTACAGTAATGTTCAACTCTCCCTTTGCCTCCACAACAAGGATACTAGCAGCAGAGAGGATCAGTATTGTGAATCTCTCTTAAGTCAATGGAGCCAAGCAGAAGAACTGGGTGTGCCCTGTCTGACCTACACATGTTCTTGTTGGCAGCTAACATTGTACTAATTGTACTAAACCCCAGAGCCCAACAAGCCTCTCCATTGAAAATGATAAGAAAGCGACTAGACTAAATAACCATCAACCTTAGGAAAATAAAGAGAGTAAAAGCAAATACTGCCCAAACTATGATACCTTGCTGGAAAAGAAGACTGCTGAATTAATCTATCAATACAGTTAGATGGCACCACAGACACGGCCTATAAGTGAGCCCAGAACTGATAGAAGGAGAATATCAGATCAAAGTTGGGAAAATGCAGTGCTTTCCATGATCCCAAAACTCTCACTGTTAAAAGGGGAAAAAAAGCCTATTTAATGCAAATATGTAATTTAAAAAAATTCCCACCTATGTGGCTGTGAATCACTGAAAACTAAGGTCTTAGAAAAAATAAAATGGCAAATAGCTCCAACAGCAATGGAAAAATGCACAGTGGCTATGAGCGGCCTGCATCACATTAGCAGTGAAAACTCTTAAGTATAAGTCATTATATTCATAAGGATGTGAATAACCTGAAAAGGAGGTAGGCCAGTTTTATATGTCTGAAATGATAGCCAGCAAAGGGCTAGCCCAAGTTCTCCAATGGAAAACTGAGGCATTGAAAAATAATTATAATAATAATAATAATGATAATAAAGGAAGATTTCAATATGTTACATATCTCTTCTATCAATGATACATTGAAAAATATATATACAATGATCTCTCAAGAAGAGATAGTGTATAAAGGGCTGGAATTTGGAGCAATCAATCGATCGCCTACTTTGTGTCAGGTGTATCAAAAAAAGATGACCTTAAAAAAATGAGTCATCCAAGTAGCAAGAGCTAGAGCCCCAGGTACAGCTGTCTATTAGCCTAAAAGTCAGACCTAACAAAGCCAAGTAACACACAGGATTGCCCAACCTTTCCTTGTCTCCCATCCTTATCTGCAACCCCTCTCCTTTTGCTTTCCTCTCATCTCTGGTCCTCTTTTATTTCTTTTCTTTTCCATTTTCCTTACATTTTTTATCATTTTTTTTAAGTATAAGTTTTCAAAAGGAGTGTCCCTAGCTATACTACCATGAGGAATTTACATTATGATAGCTACTAAAGAAAGCTCTAGTGCTTCATAGGAAATCATAGGAAATATCTAAATATCTTAAATATCTAAAAATGAATTCTCTCCTCACCCCCAACAAATAAATGGAAAAAAATTGAGGTGGAATGCGGGTAAACACTATTCTAAAGTAACTTTATGGTTTAAAAAATGTTCAGGCAGAGCCAACATGGTAGAGTAACTTCCTTGAGCTCTCCCCCAAAGTCTTTGAAATACCTATAAAAAATGGCTCTAAACAAATTCTAGAGCAGCAGAACCCACAAAAAGATAGTGTGAAACAAATTTCTAGCCCAAACCAACCTGGATGGTTGATTGGAAAGGTCTATTGCACTGGACTGGAAAAGGAATGCAGTTCAGCGTGGGTGCCCAGGCAAAGACCAGGCCTCAGAGGATTGAATCACAGGCAGCTGTGGCAGTTTCCAGACTTCTCAAATGCCAAAGGCAACTTGGAAGGTCAGTAGGAAAGGTCTGTAACCATGATATGAGAGAGCTCAGTCCCAGCCCCAGTATCTGTGCAGCCCTGGGGTGGCGGCTGCTCCCAGAGCTCTTGGTCCACAGACTGAGGGGTAATCGGGTGGCTGCTCAGAGGGGGATTGCAGAGATCTCTTTACTGGTGATGAGGCAGGATTCTCTTGCTTTGCCTGTGCTTGGATCTGGGTCACAGTTGTGGGTGGCAATCCTGAGGCAAGGAAGACTGCTGGTGTGGTGAAGCTTGTGCCTTGGTGGAGAAAAAATCCTCCTCAAAGTTCCAAGGCAGAAAAGAGTACTTGTGGTCACTCACAGACCAGAGTACAGGCCAGGAAAGGGATAAACACCTCGACCTTGATCATACCACCTTGGAAGAACTGAAAATTTACAGATTCCTAGAAGTGTCTCTGAAAACAGCTGCACAAAACCCCCAAAGCTTGGAATAGTACATCCTGCACACTGGAAACAGACCGCTACCCTAACAAAGAGTTTAAAACTCATGTAATTGTCTGGGAACATGAGCAAACTGTGCTAAAAAGTCAGACCATGGAATCTTACTTTGGTAACAAAGAAGATCAAAACATACAACCAGAAGAAGACAACAAAGTCAAAGCTCCTACATCCAAAGCCTCCAAGAAAAATATGAATCAGGCCCAGGCCATGAAAGAGCTCAAAAAGAATTTTGAGAAGCAAGTAAGAGAAGTAGAAGAAAAACTGGGAAGAGAAATAAGAGTGATGTAAGAAAATCATAAAAAACAAGTCAACAGCTTGCTAAAGGAGACCCAGAAAAATACTGAAGAAAATAACACCTTAAAAAATAGTCTAACCCAAATGGCAAAAGAGGTCCAAAAACCCAATGAGGAGAAGAATGCCTTAAAAAGCAGAATTGGCCAGATGGAAAAGGAAGTCTAAAAGCTCACTGAAGAAAATATTTCCTTAAAAATCAGAATGAAGCAAATGGAAGCTAGCAACTTTACAAGAAATTAAGACATTGTAAAACTAAACCAAAACAATGAAAAAATAGAAGGCAATGTGAAATATCTCACTGGAAAAACAACTGACCTGGAAAATAGGTCCAGGAGAGACAAATTAAAAATTATTAGACTACCTGAAAGCCATGATCAAAAAAAGAGCCTAGACATCATCTTTCTAGAAATTATCAAGGAAAACTGCCCTGATATTCTAGAACCAGAGGGTAAAACAGAAATGGAAAGAATCCACCAATCACCTCCTGACAGAGCTCCCCAAAGGAAAACTCCTAGGAATATTGTAGCCAATTTCCAGAGTTCCCAAGTCAAGGAGAAAATATTACAAGCAGCCAGAAAGAAAAAATTCAAGTACTGTGGAAACACAATCAGGATAACACAAGATTTAGCAGCTTCTACATTAAGGGACCACAGGGCTTAGAATATGATATTCTAGAGGTCAAAGGAGATAGAATTATAGCCCAGAATCACCTATGCAGCACAACTGAGTACAATCCTTCAGGGGAAAAAATGGACATTCATTGAAATAGAGGACTTTCAAGCATTCTTGATAAAAAGATCAGAGCTGAATAGAAAATTTGACTTTCAAATACAAGACTCAAGAGAAGTATGAAGAGGTAAACAGGAAAGAGAAATCATAAGGGACTTATTAAGGTTGAACTGTTTACATTCCTACACAGAATGATTATATTTTTAACTGTCAGTATTAGAGTAGTTGGAGGGGAAAAAAAATTATAGATAGATAGATAGATGGCATAGGGTGAGTTGAAGATGAAGAGGTGATATCTGGAAAACAAAATTAAGGGATGAGAGAGGATTATACTGGGAGAAGGAGAAAGGCAGAGGTAGAATGAGGTAGAATCTCACATAAAACAGACAAGAAAACGCTTTTACAGTGGAGGAGAAATGAGGGAAGGTGAGAGGGAATGAGTGAATCTTATTCTCATCGAATTTGGCTTAAGGAGGGAATACCATACACACTCAATTATTTCAGACAGTTACAAAAACCTTTGTTAAGTGGTTTACCAACCTAGGGTGGATTAAAAGTACTAAATCAGGTAAGAAATAGAGGGGGGAGAAGTAGGCACATAGAGTAGCTAACATGAGGGAAACCTAAAACAAATACAAAAACTCAAAAAGCTCAGCAGACCAGGGACATTTGGTGTAGGGACAAATAGTTACACACAATATCCCCTCAGGACGGTGCTAACCCTGTATGGTCCAAGGGGTTCATAGTAAAAATTCTTTAAAGGTACCTTAAGCAATCAATAGCTGCACATTTATGCTACATATACATTTTTCTCTGTGACAATAAACATGTATATTTGAGTCATTATAGGCTTGTTTCTGCAACAATTCTAAATAACCATGATGATGTACACAGCAATACTGGTGCCCATGCAGTGATTCTGTCACACTCGGGCTACTTCCAAGTGCAACGTGTTCTCATAGTTTGCCAACCTGTCATGAAACTAGTTCCAAAACAC